ATTTCAACAGTTTTCCTAAAAAATAAATCCAGGAAATCACCAAAGTTTACAGACATGTGTTGTTCTCATAGCTGATTATTAACTTCCATTCATATATTATCGTCCTACATTTGTGCCTCATGCTAAAAATTTTCAAAAGATATTTGCAACAGAAAATAGAAACTAACAATGTAATACGTATTAGTTATTGCTGGACTTAAGGTGAAGAACGCTAAAGCAGCGATAATTGTCTGCAAAGTTACAGCAGCCAACAACATTTGCGGATAACAAATACATAAAACCTGTAAAACGATACAATACACGTATTATATGGTCAAAAATGAAACAAAAATTTCTCTTTTTTACTTTGCTCATGTACTAACAATTTAATTGTTTAGATGTGCTAAATTCTGAATAAAATTTTACTTGAACAATAAACACTCCAATTGCGAATGGCCCGTTTCCAAGCCTAAAGAATGGAACTTCAAGAGGAACTTCTGAAAACCGCCATTTGCCCAGTTCGCCCATAACATAGCATCCGGTGATTATAATACCGTAAAATAATACACCAAGTGAAAAAAAGAATTGAATACCTATAAAATAATGTTTCTTGATATAAAAGGTACCCTCGAAATTATCTTTAAGTTAAATAAGCGTTGTCTGCGCTTTAGTTGGTTACATTGCTGTGTTTTAGAACTGTCAACGGATTTTAAAATAATTCGTTATTTGGCTTACCAGATGAATGTTTCTGTGCTAAAACTTCTTGTCGAATAAGCATTCTTCCACACAATACAACTAGCGTTAACGATACTACAGCAACAACAAAGAAAACCTAAAATTTTTGATTAGAGCAGATAAATGACATAGACACAAAGTTTTGATGTAGTTCAGAAAAACTTTTTAAAAAAACGGTGATAATTGTCTATAGAAAAATTAGAAAGGTACTGTCAAATAAAATACCCCAAGTTGAACAGAATAAAGAACAATTTGCCCAATAAATGTGTCGTTGTCGCCTTGTTTGTAGCTTTCATATGTTGCTGACTGATACACCAAATTGACACTGGCACACATCTTTTCCAAAGATACAGTAAATGTAATAAGCGAAAGCACAAACCTTAGTGTAGACAATGATCTGAAAAAATCCGTCTTAAAAAAAGGAAAACTACTGCAGCAACACAAAATTAATCCCGTCCAAAAGCTGAATTAAACAGATTACGTTGAAGTTAGTAATCCTACAAATCCTGTACAAAAGAACAGCGCAGCCATCCACAGAAGGTCGCCACCAACAAATTGTCCATTCCATGGCAAGTCCACTAGTCCCAACACAACCAAAGCCATAAGGCAAAGTCCGCCAAGCATCAAGAAGAATCCATAAATTCTAATGAAAAAAATTTTTTTCAAGATAATTAAACAAACTTTTTCTAGGCAAATTTCAAAGTTTCAAATGCAAACTTAAACAAAGATGAAAGAATACATCAAAAATACCGCAGTTTGAAAATATAACTTTTTTACGAATAGAAATAATATTAGCAAACAAAATTTTGGTTTTCTAGACTTATAGTTTTGACCTAAAAAAAATTCAGTAAAGTTAGAACGTTTTTTAATGGTTTAAGCAATAAGTAGTAATAAACCTGCTCTGTATAACATGAAACTTGGTCATCCTGACGTTAACGCCCACAAAATCAGACTCCAAACAACGTCCAGCCTGAACGGCTGTAAAAACGCACAAAAAAAATAGAAGGCAGAAACAACTGAGCAGCACACCGTGAACAACACTGATAATGTACCGAGAACCCGAATGAGACGACAGGATACCTTCTGCAATTATACAGTCTGACTCATTTATTGTTGCTAATTTTTCTATTTATTGCACACTAAAGTTGGTCCCAGTTGATGCGGGAATAATTTTCTTTGGATAAAAACAGATATTAATTCCTTATATTTCTCCTATTCCGTCTTCAGAACTTTTTCTTTTTAATTTGCTCTACTCAGCCATAAAGTTGAGAAAAAGTGTTGAAAACTTTGGCTGCATTTACCAGTTGCCACAGTCCGGAAAGACCCTAAAGCGACGATAAGCTGTAACAAATCTTTCTGCAAACCCCACCATATATAAGCCGATGCTTTCACTAGCTTTCATTTGCTAGTTCAAAACACTGCTTGCTAATAAAATACCACACGTATTATTTTTCCTGCTGATTTTTTTTATCTACTTAAAGTCATTTTTTAGATTATGCTGGAAATAACACGGTTTCAGTATTATATGGCTTTATCTTCATCTTTCAATTTACTCTTCCCTACTGTCTATACTATAGGTCATAAAAAAGAAAATATTAAACTTTATCGCTTTACTTGATCAGATTTAATGAGTTTCACGTCTAAGTTAAATTTTTTTTAACCTAATCGACTACAACTTCAAATGAATTTAGCAATTTGTGCATACCGATGTATTTTGACATTGATGTAGACTGTTGATAGAGAATGAGAATACTCATAAATCATTCAAGAGTAGAAGTTTCAAAAAATTGCTCAAAATTATTATGACAGAAGGAATAAATCAAAAAAAAAGTTGCTTTATCAAATTTTTGCATTTACACTTTTTCCAACTAACAGTGAAGTTCATGCAAAATTTTTCAAAATTATGGGAAAAAAGCAAGTGACGTTTCCAAGCTAACGACCAAGCTGCATAATGTATTTGGAACTAACAAATATTGTATTCTTCAGTTCTTAGCAAGAACTCAAAACGAGGCGTAAAACTGGAAAATTTTGTTTATACTATATATATACTCATAAAGTTCCCTAATACCTCTTTTGCAAAACAATGAGTGTCATATCTGCAAAAAAAAAACTATCTGCTTTCTTCCCAATTTTTTCCTAATTTTCTTTTTCCACTTTTTTGAACTCCCATCTACTTGTGGAACGCTCACCGTAACACTTCTTATTATAAACGTTTTAATAAAAAATAAAATTTTTTTTCATTTAGCGGGAAAACCCGACTCTACCAAATACCAAATAATAGCAACGGGTTAGCAGAAACGACTAGAAACTGCGAAAAGTTGACTAATTTCTTAAATTAACGACTTTAACGAAATTGGTTTGATGATTGCTTACCCTGAGAATTCCTGTAGAAAGCTAAATCATTATAGAAAAATGGATACATTCCATAGTCTACTGATTTTAAGCACCAAACTGCAGAAATAATTGAAAGCGCTATTGAAACCTAAAACCGGGTATTTTCAAATAAAATTCATTTTTTTTTCTTAGAATTTCAACAATAGATATATATTCATTGAAAAGCAATGTTTGAATTCTTCCTTAACCATAAATCACAGAAATGATTCCACTGGTTAGAATTAGTATTAAAACTACCTTAAAATTTAAGACTGCTTGCCGTTTATTAGCGACAGCATAGATGTCGATGATTGCACTGGTTACTGTTAGCAATGCAGCTATGTGATCCAAAGCAATTTTGATATAGTTATCACCACCAGCAACCTATTCAATAAAACCGGTTTTAATTCGTGTTTTTCTCATAACCACAAAACTATATATCATATTACAAGTGTATAACCGTATAAAAATAAATCACAAAAATTTACACAAATTTTACAGTTACTTCTCTAGCTTACAATCTAATTAAACTATCAAAAATGCTTATAATATTTGATTTAACTGTATTTTTAGCTGAAACGATAGATAATAATGTGACAATAATATATCATATTATAACTGTGCCGTTTTTTAAAATCATTTAATCTGTTCACTTTTTCATGCTCATATTCCAAAAATATTGCAAGTCCAAGCGTTCCAAGTGACAGAAACAATTTAATAACACTTATTGAGGTCAGTCGAACTCGTCGATTTCGTAGCAAAATTTCTTGATCACGCTGAAAACCAAAAACAGTCATTATATTCCTTACTCTTCTTCCTCAACCCCGTCTTTCCGTTCCTCTTTTTGCATAAATAAATAACAAAACATTTTCTCCAACAATGATAACAATTAAAATACATAGTGTTCACCGATTTTAATCTTTGTAATCATTTCGCCTTTCCTTCCCCCTCCTTCCTCAAAAAAAAAACATTTATATATATATATATATATATATATATATATTTTTTT